GGTAAACCTCACCGGATAAAACTCCCTTCCCGTAACTGCATCCTCATCATCATCGCCGTCTCCTGCATTCTCCTCCTCCTCTTAACCCTCCTCATCTACGCAACCGTTTCCCACAACCACCACAAACCCCCTTCCTCCTCCGACTCTCCTCCGCCGAAAACCCCTCCTCCTCCACCACCAATCGCTCAGATCCGTGCCGCATGTAACGCAACGCGATTCCCAGACCATTGCTTTACCTCCCTCTCTAAACCGGGTCTAGTCCCTCCGGATCCTAAACCGGTTCAAATCATCCACTCCGCAATCTCCGTCTCCTTCGAGAATCTCAAATCCGGCAAATCCAAAATCAAATCGATCCTAGACTCATCATCAGGTAACGAAAACCGAACCAACGTCGCCACGATTTGCCTCGAGATCCTCTCTTACGCCGAGCACCGTACCGAATCGACGGACCTCGCCGTGACGAGCGGCGGAGTCAAAGACGCTCGTGCTTGGATGAGCGCCGCTCTAGCTTACCAGTACGATTGCTGGGCAGGTCTCCAAAAAGTAAACGACACGAAGCAAATCGTCGATACGATCACTTTCCTCGACGATCTCGTGAAACTCACCGGAAACGCTTTGAGCATGATGGTCTCTTTTGATAATTTTGGAGACGACGTCGTTTCGTGGATCCACCCAGCGACGGAACGAGATGGGTTTTGGGAGAAAACTGGGCCGAGTTTGGGCTCGGGTACGGGTCAAGTGGCTAATTCGGGTTTTCCGTCTGGTTTAACGGAAGACGTGACGGTGTGTAAAGACGGAGGACCGTGTGGTTATAAGACGGTGCAGGAAGCCGTTGACGCAGCGCCGGAAAGTAACGGAACCGTTAAGTTTGTGATACGGATTAAAGAAGGTGTGTATGAAGAAACCGTTAGGATTCCGTTTGAGAAAAAGAACGTCGTGTTCATCGGAGACGGTATGGGCAAAACGGTAATTTCAGGTTCTTCGAACGTAGGGCAACCAGGAATGACAACGTACAACTCTGCAACTGTCGGTGAGTTTATATTAACGTTACTAATTTTTTCTTTTA